ATTTTTCAGAATGGACTTGAGTTAAATTTCAAGATAAAACAAAATAAAACTGAATGTATCTCACATGTTTGATGCCTGCAAGTAAGTTGCTCCCACCAGAAGCCTCTAATTGATTGCCAAAAAAGTATTTAGCCTCCTCTATAGCGCGCCAGCTAACTTGCATTGGATCTGGCCACAAGGCCTTCACACAGGTCCCATAGGTGGCTACATACAGTCTCTGTACACAGCTATCTGTGGAAACTCCAACCTGCTCATCAAGAAACTGAACCAAGTGCTCACGAAAATGTTGGCTACGCAAGCTTGCCTGGTTAGCATCAGAGGCATCCACAAGGATGGCAAGCTTAGAAGCTCGAAGCATACCAAAAATTCGTCTGCTGCCCTGTAAGTGAAGCAAAAAAAAGTTGCAGAAAATATCAAGAAACATGGAAGGCAATGCGGGAGAATATTTTGCAAGTGGAAACTAAGCGTAACCAGAAGAAAAGTTTAAAAGTAATTATATTTTTATTAGAAATGGCCTGACCTCGTTTTCGCAACTTGCTCGTATTATCAGGGTGACATAGTTGGATGCACTTTGCGCAAAGTCTTTTACTTTAATATTTATGATAACTTCCAGCGTTGAACCATGAATCTGCTACAGTCCCAGATACAAAGGGCAACTGGGTTTAGATGAATCTCTTAAGATAAAACTGTTGGGGAGGCCGATTGTCGTTGTACTGCAGCCGTTTTAATTGTATACAAAATTCAGCTTGAAGCAGTCCACGAGGCAACCTCTCTCGTTCGCTCATGTTTAGCGGGGTGTCATCACACCTGCTTGTTAACCTTGCCTTCCTCCATCAATTTGCCGAAATCGCTAATCCGACTGGGACGTTGCTAGCGAAGCATCTGTGGATGTACTCAGTCCATGGTCCATCACTGGAAAGTATCCTAACTATTATAGCAGATGACTTCAGACAAAGTGCATCCAAATATGTATCCCTGAAAACACTACCAAGTTAAAAAAACGAGGTCGGACCACTTTTAGAAATTAATAGTAGACTTCGACTGAAACAAATGGCACAACATCTTGGGCTTCATAACTAAATTTTTATTACTTTATTAATGTTTTGGGTAATTATTTGTGCGAGAATAGTTTAATGTCTTTTCTCCATGATACGGCCAACGAAAAGCATCAGGAAAATTTAATCTTTTATTAGAACTATGTAAACTATCTTAGGAATCAGGGCTATAAAATCTGGGAAAACCATGTTAAATATCACGTCGCGATAAATGTAATCTAATAATTGTAAAATTCGGTTAAATTTAGTGCTCAAAGGTGCAATGGAGTGCATATTTCTTGAGAGTTTGCCCAATAAAAGAAAGCAAGAATGTAATAAACGTATCTTTTACCATGATAAAGGTTAGTAATAGTGGTATCTTAGATAAACGCATAACGATAGTGATAAGGGACATATGATAGAAACATATGGTATATATAAAAAGTTATTTAGTTTGATTAATTATGATTAAAGAAAATAAATTTGTTAAATTAAAAAGCCGCTTAAAGGACGACATTAAAATATATGAATATATTTAGCAAATATCTATGGAAGCGTAATTAGCAAAATTATATATCTTACTTTCGTGCACCAATTTACACGGCTTGTAATTTCGTAAATTGTTG